CCTCAAGGGGCACTTCAAGACACAAGGATAGTAACACTCACAGCTATCATCCTAGGGATTGGTTCACAACCCTTAAGCTACAAGATACGTATTTTCACATCGTGATCCATCCTTCTTACAAGAGGTTTCTGTGATCTGTCATCAGTCAAAAGCACTTTCAGTGTTGAGTGCTTTCCTTCAGGCTCTCTACTGCCCCTGGGATGTTTGCAAAGGTTATGGCAGTTGTCGCCACCTTACTTCATTGCTGGGGAGTCAGTCTTCCCTTACCTCAATGATTGACTGCTTAAAGGATGCTCTTGCATTGAGGTCCAGGTTGCCATCTAGAGAGCTTCAGCCCTGCTCACCATGCTAGGACTTCAATTCAACGTTGAGAAGTCCTCTCTTACCTGCTCAGCAAATACAGCAACCTACCAGAAGACATTTCTTATTCTGACACATTTGATTACTCATGTCCCATTGAGCCTTTGTAGCTCCTCAGTCACATGGTGGCATCTGTCTTCATCATGCTACATGCCCACTTGCACTTCTGCTGTTTCCAGGCTTGGCTCAGGACATTTATACCCCAGCAGAGAGTTTGAAAGTTGCTCTGCATTCCTCAGCATGTGCTAGTCTCTCACCCCTAGTGGAAAAATCCATAGAAGGTCTGCTGAGGAATCCCCTTCAACTGTCCATTCCCTGTCATCCCATAGTTTCAGATTCCTCCCTTCTAGGATGGTGAGCTCCCCTATAGGACCATACTGTTGAGGGCAGATGGTCTGCCCACAATCTACTCTCCATATCAACCTGCTGATGCTCATGGCAATCGGATACGCTTGCTTCTAGATTTATTATAGGGCTATCTAACCTGTTTCCAAATACCAAGGAACTCACCCCGACCTGGGATTTGAACTTAATTGTCACCTCTCTGATGAAGCCTCTCTTTGAAACTCTGGCTATGTCTTCACTTTTACAAGTCTCCCTGAAAACCGCTTTTTTTGTGGCTATATCATCTCTGGTTGGAGAGTTGGTAAGTAAAGTACTTTGATGGCTAACCACCACCCTCTATGCTCTTTTCTTTAAAGACAAGGTATCCCTCCGCCCACATCCTGGATTCTTACCTACCATCACATCAGATTTTCATATCAGACTATTCATCTTCTGGGGTTTCACTCTAAACCTCATCGGTCTAAGGAGGATGCAGTCCTTCACACCTTGGATATTTGGAGGGTTTTAGCCTTCTGTTTGGACAGGACTAGAGCTATTTGATTTTTTTCCCATTGTGGACATGATTAAAGGTACACCTATGTCCACAGAGTCTAAACGGGTTTCCAGTTATATTCTGTCCTGCTACAAAGTTGCTAGTGTCCTACAGCCTGCGAGTGAAAACTGTTACTAACCTTTCTGTAGCTGTTCTTCGAGATGTATTGCACGTGTCAATTCCAATGTAGGTGTGTGCGTGCCCTGAGCAGAGTTGGTGGAATTTTTCCCTGAGTGGCATCTTCAGGTCAGCTCCAGCGCTGTCTGGTACCACATGCTCATAGTGCTGGTATAAACAGCCTTGCCAACCCTGCACCCCCTCAGTTTCTTCTTACTGTCTGACTCCAATAAGTAGTTCAATGAAAGACTAATACTAACAACCCTTTTTTTTTTTTAGCTAAGAATTTGATACCTTTTAAGAAGTTTCCAGTGTTAATCACTTTGTACAGAGTGGACCTAATTGTTCTTACACCTGTGTTAAATCTACTGAAGTACATGGAGTTGCATTAATGCAACAGAGCACTGTCCACTGATGGTAGTATAGGACCTATAATCCTATATTGACAAATATAAAGTCTTAAGTTTTGCTTTCAGGAATTGGGCATCTTTCTGCTCTAGTGGGACCGTTATGTAGTCTTTGGGATTCAGAGATTAGTTACTACTATTAGCTTGTAAATTTTTAAATGTTTCTCCTGTTGATTCACCATATATTGCAGCTTTAAAAACTGAATTGAATCTAGTTTTGTTTATATACATTATATATATATATTTTAAAAAAATAGGCACCAGTTTTAGTATCTGTACACCTGTAGTGTTCTGCAACAGGAAAAAACTGTCACATAAATGTGCTTGTGTGTAGGCATCAGGTTAAATAGCAAGAGTTGCAGTTGCACTGCATATGGCAAGAGTGGTAGCTGTACTGTATGCAAGACAGAGTAGCTGAACTGTTTTTGCCACTGTGCAGGGTTAGACAACACTGATACACCCTACAGCATCCATTCCTGGAGCCAAATTCACAGAAGCACTGATGCAAGAAATCACAGGTTTTTCCACATGATATGGTAATGGGCTCTACGGGAGTGTGATTTCTAAAGTCTGCTAACAGACTGCACTAATTAATTTAATATTAAACATAAGTTATGCAGGGTCTATATGGACCAATTAATGTGCAACATGTAGGTGCTCTTTAGAAATCACACCCCTGTAGAGCACATTACCCCCACCATGTAGAGAAGCCTCTACTGTAGATACCTTGGCATAGGCAGACCTCCTGTGTAACAATTGCAAGTTCTCTCCTGTTTCCATTCTCTGTGGGGTGATGTGGCTTGATTCATTAGTATGTGCAAAATGAAATGCTATAAGTGAAACCATACAAACCATTCTATCGTATCCTCTTGTATACCACCAACGTAACTTTATTTAGCTGAAACTTTTTTTGGCATGACAAACTGTACAAGCATTGCCAAAGTATTTAAAAAAAAAAAAAGAAAAAGAAAAAAAAAACTTGAGGTACCTGTCAGAAGGATGTCTGATCCACCTAGCATTAGGTTACACACTTTGAGCCTGCCCAATCTTGTTCCTCTAGGTACAAGTTAATTAAAACTGTTTCTGGTGGTTCTCATTCATGTAAGGTAACATAATGCAACAATCTTTATAGGGTCTGAATTATAGTACAATGTTGATTAAGGGGTTTTCCTATAATATAAATATGGATTTATTGACTAATTTAAATAGGATGTTTATTTAATAGTGCTAATGTACTTTGACAAGTCTAGAGCTCTAGTCAAGTGAAAAAGAGAAAAATCAAACAGCCATGAAAGTTACTGTAATACAACTGGTGTTTAACAGCCCCTAACTAAAAAAAAAAAAGTTCTTCAGTTGTCTTCAGTGTGATAAACTAACAACTTTTGAAGTTTCTTGGTTTTTAGGCCTGTGATCAAGTCAGTTTAAGGGAGAGTTTTTAGGAGCAGAATTCAATTTAAGGGGTTCATGTATTTGTTTTATCTGCCTTTGAGGGATGTATTCTCTCAATTGTACAGTAATAAAGTGTGATGTTGGAATTTGCCACACAATCCTTACATGCATTTTAGACAAATTGATTGTGCTACATCAACAGGCTTCTGCAAATGATTTGTAGAGTAGTTAGTGTTTGCACTTAAGGTGCTGGCCATGAACTCCCTTTAACACTTCTGTATTAGACAAAGACAGAATCTTTGACAGCATCTTGTTTTGTAAGTGTTCTGGTCTTGAAGAGTGCTATAGAAAGTTCTGGATTAACACAAATTCTAATCCCCCTCAGAGTAGCCTTATTGAATACTATTTGTGATAGTGTAAAATATTCTAACTACTAGAATATATTTAACTGAAATCAAAGGACTTCTGTGTCTTTTTTGTAACACCTCTCTCCCTTAATAGGGTCTACTAGTGCCACATAACTTTAATCAGCACAGCAAGACAAGCCTTCATAAAATTAAAAACACTTAACTGGATTGTAGTTTTAGTGTGACTTGCCTCTAACTGGATAACAAAGCAGCCATGCAATTAATATGTTGAAAGAATGGATTAAACAATGAAATTTGTTAAATGGCTAGTTCAGTCATTTCAGCCAACAGTGGTCATAGCCTCTTAACTTAGTGTGTATTATACCAATGCCCTGGAGTGCTTCATTTCTGTGTCACTGAGTTTATATTCTTGAACCATAATGCATTATGGTTCACATTTATTTAAACCAAACCTTACTTAACCAAATCTCATTTAAGATTCCTCATGAATGAGGGTGTAATAAAAAAATAACAGAGCTAGATATAGTTTTATTCAATGGCAGTACAAAAATATTTAAATGCCCTAGGTTTTTCCCCCTTATTTTACATGCACATGGCAATCCTGGGCATTCTGTTCCAATGTACTGACTAATAGCTTACACACACAATCTGACAGCACATTTGGTATTGTACATGCTTTATTAAAATGGTACTTGTATTTACAGTATCTGCAGAAAGAATCCCTCCCAAGTCTTGCAGTCAGACACCCACCCAGAGACACACGCACACACCCTCACTACAGCGTTGTGAAGGCTAGGCTCCCAAATATTAGGCAGCTCCTGGGGGTTGAGGGGGCATGGTGGGGTGGTTTATTTAAAAGGAAGCATGAGGGAATGCATTTGGCCATCACAATGCTAATTAAGTTTATGTATATTAACATATGGCAGTAACACTGAGTAGTCCTTTTCCATTCTATATACAGAATGACATCAAGGTTTGCTAGTCAACAGAACATTTTAATTTCAGTCTCAATGGTGCCTATGAAACCACATATTGGGGGCTTTCCCTTAAAACAATTCAAGTCTATTTAAGTGAAATAAGGCACAATTAATATTGATTTGATTTAGGGGACAGGTAAAAGGCAGGCTTCAGCTGATAGTTTTGCCAGATCCTTTTGAGAGAAAGATCACTTGTATGTCCTTCAAATCTGCAATGATGTCGCTCAAGAAAACTGAAGTTTTTCTGCCAGGGCTAGTACTGCCTACATACAAAACAAATTTGGAAATTCACATTTTAACACCAGTTGCAGTGGCCCAGACTTCTAGTATTGATGTACATGAGTAAATATTTTTTAATGCGGAAGGAGAAAATGTGTGAAACAAAACTCAACCTGTCATTTTCTTAAAAAACTTGCTTAGAGAGCCTGTAAGTATGGACTATGTGAACGCTTCATCTTACTTTTAAAAAGGAGTAGGGTGGTGGGTTTTTTTTTTCTTTTTTTAAACCTTTTACATCCCTGGCCCCTCCTCATAAATGAAGCCTTACCACACATTACAAATAAACTGCAACAAAAAGTTTTGCAGCACAAATAATGCCTAGTATTCAAATCTTCGTTGTGTTATTTTCTTTGTACAAAACCTGTTGAATGTTTTTTTGCAGCAGATGAACTGTACCCAAAGATGCAGGACATTGTGAGGGGGGAAATAAGAGGTTGCAGTTCTGAAGGCCCCGACTTTGGTTTTTACAAAGTTCAATCCTGTTTAGTGTGATCCTTGATATCCTCCTCATCTGTATATTCTGATGGTTCTTCCCCTGGTTTTAGGAGTCTACCTACGTAGTCATATTTTTCTGGAAAAGACATTTATGTATCCATTACAGTCAAATGCAGCTACTTCCACGTAATCTCTTCGCTGTAACTAATGTGCATTACAGATCAGGTTCCTCCCCCCATGCTAAGGTTCTGATTCCACATCACTGCAGTCAAAGGAATTTTAAACACTGACTGACAGCAAGATCAGACCCTGAAATATCTTTCTAGGGATTTTCCACTTGTCCATTCTTTGACCACTCTCTCCCACAACTTAACAGTTGGTGAAAATTCTATCCTTATACCTTTGCAACCCCATTGATTAGCCTGTTGATTTTAGTGTGGTTTGAAAATTGACTTGACTTATCTCCTGTGCCTGATGAAAATAATGCAACTTTTAAGACCAAACAGATCAGTACTACACCCAAACAAGAAAGATTAAACAGAATCTACACTGAACATCTTAGTACTGTAAGGTGCCATATTCTATATTAGTCACTCCAAGACCTGTTCTGTTAGTGGAGTGAAATTCTATACTTCAACACATCAAGTCTGAAACATGACACTTCCTATTTAGCTATTTATATAAACAAAAGTAATTAAAAATACATACCTGGGCAATATTAAAATTCCTTTTATAGATAAAACTCAGTAAGTCAGAATTCCCTTTCCAATAAGAAAAATATTGCCGTAACTTCTGTACAGTGAGCAAGAAACTTATTTTAAAAAGCGCCCACCCATCTGTCAGTGAGAGATTCAGTACTATAAGTAAACAATTACATTTTGCTAGTTTAAAAAGTTACCTTTAAATTGCATTTCCCATTCTCTAACACTTTCCATTTGTACAGCATTTAAGTCCGATAGGTCATCATATTCATCTCTGAGTGCATCTTTATCTAGACAGAAAGTTGCTAGTCCCCTGGAGGCATCTCTGCCAGCAAATATTCCATATGGACCCTCTGAAAATAGAAAACAGAATTGATATTTTCAAAGTTTGTTTATAGTGATTGACCTCAACACTTGAGTAAGTTGTGTGTGGCAGAAACAGCAGGAAAAACAAGACTTTACATCATCCCATATTTCTGGAGGAGTTGTTGGGAACAGCAGCCTTGTAATGTTGAAGCATTTAATGGCACTGCATCTCCACAATGGGCATCACTATGAGATGGACAGGGAAGGCTGACAAGAGAAGCAAAGGCAGGAAAAATAAATATTTTACACAGCTACCTGACAAGACCACATCAAAAGTCAAACTGTTGTCTTATGTGAGAAAGTGATTTCAAGTGCTTCTGCATTCTGAAGTTGAAGGCACATGAGAACAGAATGAGAAAGGAAAAACTTTTCTACTAGGAAATAGTTCATACATACAAAAGAGACCATTTAAGTTTGACTTAGCCCTCTGACCTCAAGTCCTAGCAACATCTTAAAATGGAAATCCATTATAGACTTGCAACTTAAGTTCCCTGATGTTAGGTCATTGAACTCAACTGTGATACCAAGGGTGGAAGTACAGTTTTTTAATGTAAAACCAGGGTATTGGTCCAACCATTTCACACAGTTCTTTTAAAGAAATGCTTTACGAACCATCAAACTCAGAGTTGTTATAAAGTTGCCCTAACACAATGAAATGGGAAATGAAGCAATTACACTGATTTGATTCCAAGTTATTCTATAATGAAGGTCTGGACTACAAGATGTCTAAGGTTGGTAGTGTAAATCAGTTAACTGTTTAGTCCCAACTTGAAGGCTAATAACCAGCTTACTGCAGGATCGAGTCAGAATCATAGTCACAGCATGTCAGTGTTTAAAGGGGCATATAACTGTTTAAAATAAACAAGCATTCTTACCTATATTAAAGTTTAGTTTTCTAATCCAGTTTACTTTATAATTTGTATTGTTTACTTTTTCCTTCTCAGGCAGAGCAATGAAAGTTGATGGAAGTCCATTTTATTTTCAGGTTCTCCATTCTGCCACATTTGGGTTTCAAACACTGCAGTGTCTTAAATTTTTTCCATTCACAGCTATTTATTCCCAGTCATGGAAGCTGATCTACTGACCTTATTTGTAAAAACAAATACAAGTTTGGGACTAAAACTGAGTTGAGAACAATGCCAGTTACTTTTCCAAAAACGAAAGTAACAAGTTTTTCAACTGCCAATTTAATCTTAGATTTTATAAGTACACTTGAAGACTGTAGTTGCCTGCCTCTGACCCTTTTATTATTTCTGTGGAGATTACCAGGCAAGTTAGTCTCCACACCTATTTCAGAATTACAGACCAACATTCATAAACATCTTGCCTCTACTTTTAATAGTTTATCCAACTGAACATAAGAGGAATTTTAGACAGGCAAACAGTTACCCAATCTGGAGTTTGACCGGAACAAACATGGACATAACCTTTTCCCTACAGAAAGCTAGTTGATACACTTGCATGAATGCAGCTGAGTCAGTCTCCAGCATAGCAGTGCAACTAATTACCACATAGTGCAGTAGATAACCAGAGGAACCATACAACTGTGCTAATGAAACTTCAAACTATCAAATAGAGGGTTACTGTATGGAAAGCAAGTCTGACTCTCTGATGGATAGGATTTCCTGTTGAGGTTGGTAAATAGCTTTCCAGAATTTATCTTAACTCATTACACTTTTGATGAGGGCAAAAACAGAATTTTAAAATTCCATAAAAAGTTTCCTTTACATACATAAAGTAACCCAAATGTTGCATGATTACATATTAAAAAAAATTACCACAAAGAAATATAGTTATACAAAAACTTTGATGGCAATTTGTTTAATGTTAGGTGGCCAAGTTCCTCAAGCACACCACACTTAACATAACCTTTGGGAACTGTTAGCTGTAGAAACCAAAAAAACAGTTACATACTACAGATTGAAGCACCAACTCTTTAATGTGTAGCAAACAAAAAAAATACAAACCAAAATGTAAAGTTAGATTCTATGAAAAAATATATTGAATAACTAACTGACATTACTTTGTCTAGTATAGCTATGTGGTAGACTAAAGATCTCATCTAATAGTGTACTGTCATATGTAAAATACAGACATTTTTAAGATGTATAAACCAGACTTGCCAGCTTCTCCCCTCCACTATAAGGTTCCTATATGCACTCATTATGCTGGTTCTGAGCTCCTACCATGCATCTATGATCCTGCTAATATGTTAGCAGCAAGTACTGTACAATATACAGTAAAAGCTGTGTTATCCAGCACTTTATCAACTAGAAAGCTCTGTTGACCGGCATTTCTGATATCTCCCAATACAAATATTCAATCTAGTAACCAGGACTAGTATACTGCCCAGGAGGTTATGCAGTGGCACATTCTACACTCTACTTTTATGCAAAAGACATCAGGGATTTATTCAAAAAAGCAGCTTCCAGGGTGTGTCATAGGGTCATTACAGATTCAGCCCAATTTCCTACACCACCTACATCTACAATGATAATTGACATTGATGATGATCCTGAGGCACTGCAAGATCCTGACGTGCCTTCTAAATCAAAGAAAGATTAAATTATGTTCAGTAGTTTTAGTGTTAAGTGTATTTTTAGTGATATGGGTGTACGCCCTGTGCTGCCCATAGTAATATGTAGTGTCATAAAATAACCTAACGTATAGAAAACTTTACTTGTATACACTTAAGTGCTTCAAGAAACCAACCACTCTGCAGCGCAGTACTACTATTGGTTGGTGAATACCTGTATACTGTACTACTGTATTTTATACTTTATTCATTTTATTGTATTCTAATACTTTGAAAATTGGTATTCCACTGATAAAATATAACTCAGTTAACCGGAATATTTGATTAACCAGCACCTGCCCATCTCCTCCCCCCCCCCCCCCCCCCAAATGCCAGATAATTAAGTTTTTATGCCCTTTCTCAGGCACCAAGAGTGGAGGGGAAAATGTGATTGGACTACTCTACCCAATATCTGGCTACAGTCCCAAAAATTGCTGGATGTTTCTGTTAAATAGATCAGCAATGAAACATTCATATTTAAATCACGGGGCTGTTCACACCACTCTGATCTCATTTCTGTCAATCTGAAGACATAGCCATGACATCAGTTCATATGCACACTGTTCTCTTCACAAACATAACAGCAAGAAACTTAAGTGAAAGCTTAGATTCTTCAAAAACTGGTAATGCTGCCAGATAAATGCTGGTACAGCATTGCCACATACCAGCTCAAACAAACCTTTCTGCACCAAGGTATTTGAAATGGGGAACACCACCCAATTTTTGTATACTACAGCTAGTTAGCTACCAATCATGTAGTTTAAAAAAAAAAAGTTTTTGAACCAGATATTCAGTACTCTTTCATCTAACACACTTGTTTGTGAAAGTATGAGCACTTTGATAGAATCTCAGAGGAATACCAAGATTGATTAGAGAGAGATCTAACTAGTTCAGCCCTTATTTAATCTTAACTAATAAATGCTAATAGGCAAAGGGCAATAAGTAACTAATCTAAACCCTAAAAGATGGACTTTGAATTGTTTATAATCCCACACTACTAGAACACTGGCGAATAGAAGACAGAAGAAGTTGCATATGAATGGAGGAGTGTGATCATGAAACTCTACATGCAAAGCTAATTCTTTATTAAAGTCACATAGCCTATTAACTCCTGTTATGTATGCAGTACTATACGTACTGATTGCCTGAAGCTTATGAATCTCAGCACAGAGGGTACTCGGAGCTTTGCCTAAGCAATTATGACTAACTGTGCACAAAAAGCATTACAAGCATTTAAGTAAGCCAGAATGAAAAAAAACCTACCAACTTGTTTTATGGCACAAAGGAAAACAGAGTGCTTTTAAAATAAAGATCTCCGTGTGAAATAAAACATTACTCCAAATACATTCCAGAATGCATGTATTTTAATTTTTTTAATTGTACCCTGGAAAAAACAATTTAACATGCACCTTCACCATTTTCTTTTAACAGTCAATTTAGACTTAACACTGAAACAAATGATTGAAATGGCTAAAAATTGAATGATTAATAGTTTGCAGGCTACTCAAGAAGTATGCAGAACTCAATATATCTATTAATAGCCTTTAGCCTATTGCAGCATTTTAAGTATTAGTCACCATCATTTCAGCTCTATTTACAGACTATCTTTTTGGAGTATGAAGATTGATAGTAACTTAAAAAGCCAGAGCAAAAGGGGGGAAGGCCCCTCGTCACTGAAGCAGGAGCACCAAAACCAATTTCTTTAAAGACGATCCTCCTGAAGTCAATCTGCAGTACTCCAATACATCTACTTATAACATCACCTAGTCCTTGAAGTTCTGAATTAGAGTACAAAAAAAAACAAATTAGAAAAACATAAGCCACTAGACTACACAAACTTCATTCCTTGCCTGATACCATATGGTGTCATAACTCCCTAGAAAAAGCAATTACTAACTACAGGCTACAGAATGGAATGACATTTTATTTCAGATTTTTCTTTCCCAAAGTACTTAAAACAATGTTCCTTTCCCATACTCAATGTTTCAATAAATGCATTACATACTTAAGTAACTTAGGCTTTCAGTATAAAGTCAATGGGAATGTGTGGACTGACATATGTCTAAGCAAAAGTTTCTCAGAAAGGCTTTTGCTCCATGTATCTAGAGTAAAAACTTACCAGGATTTTACAAGCTTTACAGCTGTTTCTGTAAATTGGGAAGTTGTATGTTTCTTTGGAAAGCTGCATTTAATGTAATATTCAACCTGCTGCAAATTATTCCAGTTTGAGGCCCTCCTTAAGGAAAATTAACTTCTCTGCTAGTCAACCCATGCTAATTGAAACAGGAAATTAGATTATGATTATTTACTTTAAGAAAATTTTCCATTAAAAATAACAAGAATATTGGTAAAAATAACAAGATACTGTAATTATGTTTTCATGATCTATCTCAAAGCATTTAGGGTGGCCTT